CTTGCCAAAAGCTAGGTCTTCTCCTATCCTCTTTGCTGGTCCGTTTCCCGCTCTCGTTCTTATTCCTGGAGACAGTCCAGCCGACAGAGCCCGGCGGGCCCAGGTCCCTCATTACTTGACTGCTATTCCCGTTTGACATGTCCGCCTCCCCGCTGTCCGCCGTCTGCTCAACTTTCGTCGTCGTCTTCTTCTTCTTATTCGTGGACGATGACCAGAATGAGACACCATTGTCCACAAAAGGACGGTCGTTTGCCATTTCAAATGTCTGCCATTTCGATTCGGCGTTGTCCAACGCTTGTTCAAAGGAATCCTCGTGGTCTTGTTCTAAACGCGTTGTTGCGAAATTCTCCTTTCTGTTGACCTCCTCTTCTGCACGATTCCTCATTTTGTTGGCTCTGTGGGCAACCGACGTTTCGAGGTTCCCGAGTGTGGATGGATCGGTGGTGGTGGAGGAGGAGGAGGAGGAGGATGACGACAAGGAAGGGGACGGAGAAGAAGAAGAGGAGGAGGAGGAGGGTGAGGGTGAAGATGAGGAGGAATTAGAAAAGGGAGGGAGAGGAGCAGGAGGCGGCTGCCGAGGGCCTCTGGCCCCCGCCGCACCCCCCACTGACGTCACCTGCGAGGACAGGAGGAGCAAGGACACCGTAATCACGAATGTCAAGGTCACTGTACGAGCCAGCATGGCTGGACAAACATGCGACCTCTGAGTCGTGGAGTTACTTCCGGGTTGGATTACCACCCCCTCGGTGTGTCAAGGTCAAAGGCCACGCGGGGTCGCGTGGGGGGAACAGAGGAGTGGAGGCGTGGAGGCATTTTCTCCGGAACACACGAGTACGGGGGCTCACATCCACGGATGTCCTCGCCTGGAACGGACAGAACAGTCACGCCCTGGGAGCAAAAAAACCTTTTTGTTGAAGTAAAAGACGTCAGGCTAATCCCCACTACAGTGAACACTCTAACTGACAATTTCTCATTCAAGACTTATGTATAGGAAACGTTTTCACAATTACTTCGGCAACACTTCTTTCTTGTTTATAACATTCTCAAACTCGGTGGGAACACGTTTTCAAATTGTCGAACGCAACTTTCAAAAGAAATCAGAAAAACGTAATCTTTCACCTTACCACAAAACACAGGTAACAACTGCGATTTACAAAGATGATCTTTTAAATCACTCAAGATGGCATACACTGCTATCGAGAATCGGTTCAGATTTTATCTGTTTTCTACCGAGACTCGAACTTCAGATCACTCGCGTAACACCTCTCACGAGAGCAAGCAGAAAGAATGAATAAATTTCTCAGCACGGGCACACAGACACAAGGCTAGGAGCGCTAGAAGAACGACGCGGCGACGATCTATCCAATACTGCCAGCATTCCGACAGTAGCCGTGATAATTTTGCACTGGAACAATGATAATTTGATCAAAAGGCACACTGCTACGACTCCTTATTAAGATAGTACAGCTCTCCGAATGACGATGGCAAATCATGTTTTGCATAATATCGCAACAAAGACAGCAACAAAACCACTGTAGCAGCAGCTGCGGGGCCCGGCCGCCAACCGGAGTGTGGGGGGTTGTGTTACAGCACTCTTTGCATTCTGTCTGCCTCTCCTCTCAGGCCCTCATTACCGCGTGCATCGACAACCCCAAACACAGGAATTGATCTCAGGGCCACGCCAAGGTTTATGCAAAGACCTCACCGTGAATCACCACAACACTTGAAATACAAAACAATAACAGGCGAAAAATTTCAAAATCTCGCAAAAAATTATTTTTTTAAAAAGAATCAGCGGGATTAAGGAGTGCTACGGTAGGAGGTATAAACAATGTTTGGCGAAAAAATTGAAAAGCTCGAGTTGAAAAAAAGAAAGGTGTAGAGTTTGAAAAACAGCGTGAACTTCTCCTTTGTCTTCTGTCCCTAGTTATCGTCTTTTAAGCGAGTTGTGAGTCGGTCGGTTCAACTCACGCGCGGGTATTTATAACTCCAGAGGCAGAAAGCTGTTGACATTACGTGGCATCGATCATGCAGCTGAGCCAACGACCGGCGTCTTGAAAGCTCAGGCTGCTTCTGCTGCTGCTGTTGCTGTTGCTACTGTTGATGCTGATGCTGGTGATGGTGGTGGCGGTAATGGTGGGGGCAGTTACAAGATGTTTGCAGTTGCGTCAACAACAAATTCTGAGCTATCAGACGTGGATGTTGTGAGCGCAGTACTGGGGGGAGATTTCACCACCGTTCGTGAATCTTGGACTCAGGCACATGTGAGTGGAGAACGAGAAACCATCATCGCAAACCTGGAAGAGAGGAGAGGTGAAAGTAAGCAATACATAATATAGAAGGGAAAAAAAAGTACAAATCCTAAGTGTATGTCAGAACATATGTTTGTTAGCAATCATTTTTATTCGTGAGACTGCAAGTGTGAATACATGTGACAGTGTATATTTTTGTATGTTTGAAAGGCACACAGACAAAAACAGAGAGACAGATGGAGGTGGAGAGAGATAGGTAGAGAGGCAGGAAGAGAGACAAATTGAGAGACAGAACAAGAGAGAGAGAGAGAGAGACAGAGAGAGAGGGGGGAGAGAGAGAGGGGGGTAGAGACAGAGCGAGAGAGAGAGAGAGAGAGAGAGAGAGAGAGAGAGAGAGAGAGAGAGAGACGGGGGAGAAAGGAGAGAGGCGGGGGAGAAAGGAGAGAGACGGGGGAGAGAGAAGAGAGAGGGGGTGGTGTAAGCAGTAGGCATCAGAAAGTAGAAGAAAAACGTTGGAAATTTGACGAAATTCCATTCCTAAAGGACACTCCCTAGAGAGTGAATGGCCATTTTCAACAAAATCCTCAAAATAACCAAAACTTTAAAAAAAAAATGACCCACTGCAGATTCGAACCACAACAGCCCGCACGGTAATTCAACATAGTACCAACTGAGCTATGGCACGTGTGAGGGACGGAGTGAGAGCATAGCATTAACTCACTGATGATGGAAACGCTGGCCATTCGAAAACGTTTGATGAGATGCCGTTTTTGAGACGCTTTAAAAAGTTATCGTAAAAGAAGCAAGTTCCATACCATACGTACTCATTCGGCACTAAAATTATAAGATCTATTTGTGTTGCAAGTGCCGTAAAACTCTTACTCTTACTCTTACTAAAACAACCACTCTCCAGACCTATGTCTCCTTAATAATAATAATAAATAGCATTTGTATAGCGCATATCCCCGCTCAACAGCAGGCTCTATGCGCTTTACACTATATTATTACCCCAGCAGACCATAGAACACTCCGAAACATTCTCAGCTTCCGCGGAAGCATACAGTGCAAGCTGCGGATTTCACGCGCTCAAACACTATCAAACTGACAAGATCTTTCTCTGTCTATAGCTGGGTACCCATTTCCACCTGGGTGAAGTGAGGGAAATTTGTGCAAAGTGCCTTTCCCAAGGACACAACGTCAGGTCCCTGACGGAATTCGAACCCACGACCTTACGGTTGCGAGTCCGAGAGCCTAACCACTAGGCCACCGACGCCACAGCTCGTCGAGGTCACGCATTCTTGTCAATCGAAACACCTTCAAAGTACGCTGTTTTGAGGAACTACTCTTTAAGAAAAATAATTTTCAAAGTAACATAACTTAATTATTCGAAAATATAGTTCTGTCCCTTTTCTTTAATGAAACGTAGTTAGGCAGGCAACTAAATGCATACTGTCGAACTATAAGTTCATTCGAGGGGATTTTTTAAAACTCTAATTAGTGTATGGTGGTTTAAAATTTTAAAATATGCAACAGCATGTAATTCTGCCCTTGGCATCTTTAACAATTCAACTCATTGAACACGCTCATACCGGTAATGTACGGCGCTTCAAGGTGTGCTCGTTTGCTTGTTTTTGCTTCTTTTTGCTTTGTTTGGGATTTTTTTCGAAAGTGTTTTTTGTAAGTGTTTTACGGAGCTCGCAACTGCACGCATAAATTCATATGAGCGCGCAGGACACAAGTTGGTCGGACATTTTGAATGTTGTCCGGTGGCGGCCGAAGCCTACTCTTTTCGATTTTGTACCACCAAGGGGTCTTTTACGCGCGCAACTTGCACATGGGACCTCCTATATTTTTTGCCCTTGTCCGAGAAGGCTAGGTGTAGATCTTTCCTACCATAAGATCAGGGGTGTGGCTGAAACAACAGTAAGAAGGAGCCAAGGAGTAGAAAGGCTGCAGAAAGAGTCAGGAGCCCAGACGAGGGAACAAAGGAGGTGAGGGGGTGGAGGTAGAAAGTTGAGACAAAAGCAAACGACAGAACATTGTTAGAGAGCAGGACAAGATGTGAAAGGGAAAAAAATTGGAGACCAAAACTTTCCGTCGTCGTCCGGATTCGAACCCGGGACCAATAGAATAAGAGGCGTACACCGAAACCTCTAGACCAGGACAGCCTACATGTCCAAGTTTGAAGACATAGCCCAACTTCATTTTATTCAAACAAATGTTTCGATTGTGTTTTCTAATAGGTTTACGTGTTAGTTTGAGAATGTATGTTTGTTTGTTTGTTTGTTTTTGTGTGTGTTTGTGTGTGTGTGTGTGTGTGTGTGTGTGTGGGTGTGTGTGTGTGTGTGCGTGGGTGTGTGTGCGTGCGTGTGCGTGCGTGTTTGTGTACGTGGTGAAACATCAAACCAATGTGCCAGGATCTGGACAATAAAGCTATATCTCATCTGATCTTATCCTGTCTTATCTCTCTTATCTTATCTTGTCTGATCTTATCTTGTCTTATCTTCAGGTCGAACGCCCCTATCAACAAAATTATGCATCAAAAACGCGTTTTTTAAATTTGAAATTTGAAACAGCATGCAACAAAATGGTTACTAAGAAATAAGAATTGTGGGACGTACTGACGAAATGAGTTACTGCTCGCAATCCACAAATGAAGATATTGGTCAAAAACCGACTCTTGGGTCAATTTTGAAGATTTTCAATTGATGCCATATTCTTTGAGCATAACACGCCTTTTATTATTCCATACTAACAATTTGAAAAAAACCCTCACCTATAAGATAAGCGCGATGTACCTATTTCCGTAGGGGTCGATTCCAAGAAGTAATTCATTTTGTCAGTACGCTTCGTAGATTTTTTTTTCTTTTTTGTATTTGTCTATGATGCTTTGCAATGTGGTGAGAGACTGCCCTTGCTCGCTGCTGCTTGAACGTGCCCGCGAGGTAAAGGGTTAAAGAAGGCTCTTTGTAAAACCCACATAATATTGTTATAACCATTTATGGGATTTTCACTGATGCGTCAGGGGACAGTCTGTGCGGCTGGTGGCTGGCGCATTCGGGCAGGGGAGAATGGTTGTGTGTGTGGGTGTTTGTACGAGTGTGTGTGTGTGTGAGTGTGTGTGTGTGTGTGT